CTGAGGCTAATACAGACAGCACGATTGCAGCTGCTTAGCACATTGATTCAGTCCCACCAGAGGTTAATTACCTGCAACATCATTGAATATATTACTGTTCAGTTGTAATCTCTAGTTTCTCATTATACTGATAACACCACCTTTTGAAAATAGTTCTTCCTGTACTCACTTAGGGATGCACATTTCCTCCAAGCCCAGCACCTACATTTGAAGCCAGATATTTAGAGCACTCTAACTTTTGAGTTTTGCAGTGGGAATAAAAAGAGCATTTGTTTTCTTCCGGATTCACAGAATGGTTGGGAGCTGAATACTCAGAGCCCCAGTGTGGTCACTGAGCACTTATTAGATCTTTTTAGAAGGTTTGGCCCTTAATATCCAGGCTCCATTAGGTAATTTACCGTTGATTACTGTTACATGTTTCTGTAATGTGACCCCACCTAAACTGCATTGTCATCAGAATTGCATGTTTGAGTACCGGACAGTGGGATGCTCTCAGAATAACCGCCTTTGGTAGCGAGTGCACTGTGGACGTGAGTTTGGGTTCAAGGGTAGGAAACTTAGCAAGTGTTTCTGCCTGATGTGCCAACTGCTGCCACTCAGTCTTCTGTCACTGGTGCTAAAGGCAGTAGGAACAGGAGGAGAGAAAAAAGAACTATAATTTGCAAGTAAAGGGTACTCTTTCTCATTCCTAACAACATCTTCTCAGCAGATTCTCTCTTCTACCCCTTTTACCTGAGGTCTTTTATGTGACAGAAAGTGACATAACTTTCTGAGGTTTTAAGGATTTTAGATCTCAGATTTCAGACAAGAAAAGTAATGAGCTATCTAAAAAGTAAGTGTGTCAGTACATGTCTTGTAGCAAGTCTGTATAGTCCCCGGGTGGAGAGAAATGCACATGATCTCAGAGGAATGTAGTTTTATCTTTTCTGTTTGTGTTTGACAATGATCATGTAGAGGAGTAAAAGGTAAGGATAAATCTGAGTGTATGTTACTTCTAGAAAACTTGTGGAAGTGTAAATACTAATTCAAGATTTCTTTTAAAATCTTACTCATTCTAAGGAAGTTAATTAGTCAGGAGCTAAAAAATACTACGTGACTTTTTCTTCAAGTGCCGTAATTTGCTATCCCACATATAACGCTGCATGAAGAAACATGCCTTGTGTAAAAGAAACATTATCTTCCTGGCTTTCAAATTGTACTTTCTTGCAACTCAACAAATGTGATTAGGAAGCACATTACAGGGTGAAAGTGGAATTTATAATGTCTTTAAATTCAGTAGGATGTTTTGAGTCTTACTGATACCTGAATTTGCATTTTTTAGTATTCATGTGCCTCCTCTGAAGATTGTTACTTGTTGCTTCTAATTTACAGAGTGGACTGACACCACTCCACCTGGCTGCTCAAGAGGATAGGGTCAATGTAGCAGAAGTTCTTGTTAACCAAGGAGCGGCTGTTGATGCGCAGACAAAGGTACGAACACCACTGTCAACGTGTATTGTTTCCTCTCAGGGAGGCGTGACCTTGTAGACTGGACTAGTAATTGATTTCAGGGTGAAACTGAAATAACAGCAGAGAAACATTACTTGTAATAGGCTATTATAGAATATATTCTGAAAACTGAAGGTACCTAAACTTGAATGTTTAGTGTTATGATCAGTCTTTGAGCAGTAAGCTTATTTCTTGCCAAATATTTAGACCAATATAGATTTAGATTGTGTCCTACTATTGTGTTTCACTGAAGGTAAGTGGGATTGATCTGTTTTTTAATGCAAGTAAACTTTCAGAAAAGCTTGAGCTCTTTCTACAGACAGTTATATAATCTTTTACCATATGCATACTCTCATCTGCTTTTGGTATTTTTTACATGTTGCACATACTTTCCATTCAGCTGACAGTAGAAACAAAACACAGAGCTGTTACTTTAAACATCTGTATTTACAGCAAGAGAAATGAAGTAAATGCCATTCCTGGCTATTAAGTGGTTAATACTTTTTCCCATGACTTAAGAGGCTTTATGAAATTAAGTAGTCTCCTTTCCCTGAGCTGATACTAAATAGCCATCCATAGACGTGATTCTGCAAGTAAAGCCATTGTTCGTTTGTAAAGATTACCTCCTACTCCTACAGTTTGACTCAGCCTTCATGATTGGATGCCTGTAAATTTCTAAGCCACTTTGTTTTGCAAAGCATAGCGAGGCAATCTATTTCATCATATGGGTACATTCTAGGGAACTGACTTTTTCTGTTGTTCCAAGTTCAGACTAGACCATTGTTCTCCTGATGGTAAACATTAGCCTGTTAGGTTGTCAGGTTGTCAGTAAATATTGCTCTACTCTACCTTCAAAAATACTATTAGAGGTGAAATATTTAACTCTTGAGGACAAATTTGAAACTTTTTATCACTGCTATCTAATATGAAATACATATATGCGATGGTGGTCCATTTCAAATTTACTTGCCTAAAAATAGTTTTGCCTAAAATAAGTATTTGGACTCCTAAATAAAAGACCTGGCTTTCCAAGGTGCTTGGAGATGGCTTTTGAGATACCAAGCAATGACACCTCCCACTTCACAGTATTGGTTTTAAGAGCAATGTCATGAGTAAATTCCAAAAGCCTGTGTACAAATGGTTTTATGCTCACTAATGGTCTATACAGTGCTCAGAATCTAACGATGATGATCTGAGTGTGGATTACACTTACATTCTTAATGCACTGGCTAGATCTCAGAGTCATTCCTTTAGCTGGGTGAGAAATCAGTTGTGATCAAATACTTGGACTGTAGCTGATCAAATCAGCTTAATGAACCAAGCCTCACAATCTGACCTGCACTCTTTGTGCAGAGTAGCAGCTTTCACAACTCCCTGCTAGGTGTGTGCCACAAGTTAGGTGCTGTGCTTGCATCCCAGAAATGTCCAGATGTGTCAGACTGTCCAGCAGTATTATCATTTTGTCATCACACTAACAGCTTGGAAAGGGATGAGTCCATGATCATCTCTGGCTGCAGCTCAGCTGATTATGATCCGTGGCAGAGGGAAAAGTCATGGTTATGTGATTTTTCTACTGTGTGATTGCAACTGTACCAGCTACTGATTTCAGTGACATTATTCTGACATGAAACTGAAAGAGTTCTGCTGAAATCCCAGGAGCTTCTCCAGCTTTATACTTTTGTAACATATCCTCAGCCTATATTTTACAGATGAATCGATCTGGGTTCTTCTCATCTGCTAAGTCATCCAGCAGCAGATGAGATCTGCCCTAGTTCATTCTTTGCACAATTTCCTTAGATGTATGTGGTTGCCTTTCTGGAGATAGTTCCTACCTGGTATTGTTTTCTGTAGCAAGACATTGCAAAACCTGCTCTTTTAACTTGGTCAGAGCTGAACCTCCTAGCCTGTACAGCTTGTCTGTGAGCGTTTGCCTTTCTCTCAGTCTTCTCTGTCCCACAAATAGTAAGTAGTCTAAGGAGACATTTACATTGACAGGTGCAGGCCGTCACGTGTTCCTTTTGCCTGCTCTCCAATGTCCAAGTAAGATCCAGTTCTGGACTAGTGGCCTTTTAGTCACATTAGCATGGTGGAAATGTCTGAGATACTGTCACAGCTGAGAGGCAGGGCATGTTTGGGTCTCAGGGCCAGCCTGGTGCTGATGCACAGGCTCTGTACTGAACTTTAAGCCTGGCAGGGTGGCAAGGTGGTGGAGCAGGCATGTGACTCTGTAGAGACACATAGAAAAGGGGCTTCAGTTTACCATTCAGAGATCTCCTCTGGGTGGAGCTGAATTTCTTAATTGCATCTCTGAAAATTGAACTAGTCAGTAGGTAAAACAATGTATGGGGAAAAAAATGCAGTCATATTTGACTGTCTGCAGCACAAATCCTGTCATCAGTAATAGGTAATTCGGACTTCCTCATAGTTGTCAGGAGGTGGGTCAGGCAAAGTCACGGTGAATTTAAGAACAACTACTTTGCGGTGTAACAAATCACCTGCCTGGGCAAATGTGCATTATTAATCCTGTAGGCTTCTGTGGTGAAGAGCACCTGCAATGGCTTGTCCTCCTGCCTACCATGCTAATTTGCCCTCTCTGCAGTAGGGGCTGTGTGCTCCTTAAGAAGAAAGTGCCCACATGCCTTGCAGGGTTGTGTTGGAGTGGAGTGATTTTGATGCTTATTCACTGGCTTCTGCAGAGTCCCATCTGCTGGGTTTGTGCAGCAGTGAGCCCTCCGGGCTCCGCACAGTCAGGCCGTCTGCCAGATACCCACTCGCTACCGCCTGTGATATAAGAAAAGTGCCAATGCGGTACCGTGTATTTTAGCATGTAATACTTTCTAGATAAACTGATGATCATCTTGAGTTCCTAAGGGAAGAGCTGACAAGCTCTGAACTTCTACAGTGAAGGAAAAGTGTTATGCTGTAAGAACTACCATACCTTGACCTCGTGTTCTACGCAAATGAAGTTTAGATGATTGGCTTGTAAACTGGCAGCCCTGTAGTTACAAGCTCTCTTGTTTGGATGGATTAACTGTTCTGTGTGAATAAAAGGTCCGTGCATGCTGCCTCTAAAACCAGAGGTGCTGGGAAGCAGGATACAGCAACAGCTGAATTGGCTTCAGAAGCACTGTTGCTATGCTTGCATGTTTGCATGATACCGTCCAGCGGGTCCAGTTCAGATTCATTACTTTGGACACACAGTGGCAGAGTTGTGGCCATCCGTGCCTCAAAAGTCTGAAGCTGCACAGCTTAGAGTGGTATTACATTGGGGATCTCTGCTACCAGCAGTGTCAACACTAACTTTCTGTTTTCTTCTCTCCATTTCACTTCCATACACTTCCGTTACCTCAATTATTGTGGTCTAGATGACTGTTCAGTAGTCTCTTTTTTTTTGTTGTTTTTTCTTTGTTTAGATTCTCTCCTCACCATATTTCTCATTTTCCCAGGTTAAGTAAGCATCGGTTATGTCACTCCAGCACAGTATCTGTCAGTAGAGGGAGAACACTTAATATCTTAGCAGGTCAGGTCATTCAACTTCTTGAGTAGGAACCAGTGAGGTATCATCTTCCACCTCTGGTACATGTTCTTTAGTCATCATTTATATATAACTTACACTCCCTGTGAAAACATCTAGGGTTTGCAATTCTGACACATGGGAGTTCTTTCTCGTGCTCAGATTCTGAGGGTCACTCACATGATTGGGTTTTTTCAGGTGATTAGAGGAGGAGATTGGGCAGTAACACATTTTGTATCTTGAAGCTATAACAGGGAAGAAAAAAATCCAATACCACAGAAAATGTCTTGTGCGGGAGATGAGTCTGTACAATTAAGATCAGTTCTGGCTCTAAAACTTGTGAGCATTTTCAGAATTGCTCTTGGACCTGAACCATTGCAACTGTGCTGCTCTCTTGGGGTGGTTTCCATCCCAAGAATTTTTTTTTTCCTGAACTTCGTTGTAGAAAAAGGCATGAAAGGAACAATAGCTGCTGGTTTTGAAGTCCATTTATTGATGGTGTTATGGGATCCTTCTGGTTCTGCTGCATCAATTAACTAAACAGCTTCTAATCCCAAATCTGCAGGAGTCTGTCTCAGTCAGCATTGAGGGGTAAACAACACTGGTTTAGTGCACCAGAACTAGTGCTCGAGAGGCCACAAGGCTGCTCCTGCCACTTGAAATTTTGTTAGGTGGTTTTAAGCCTAGTCGTGTTAGATTGAGCTCCAATTGACAAGCCACAGAAAACACCTTATCTTATTATGCAAGAAGCAAATAACAGAATGGTGGAAAACCTGCAACACTAAACTGTACCTCAGGTGATGAAGATTCAGAGCTGCTTCAAAACTCTTCACATTTAGAAAGCTTTAAAAACTGAATTTAGTGTTCATAGAAGGCATGTTAGTGTCCTGCGTCAAAAGTGGCAGTTTTTGTCCATTCTGACACTACATTTGTATGTCTGAATATAGGTATGTTAAAGAGTTTTCAATGCAGAAACTCTGTGTTAGGCAATATCATGCTTAACACAAGGAATGCTCATCTTACATGCAATATTGGGAGTTAAAAATCAATCTGAAGCCATGGCTGTGAGGAGATACTCCTCCTCTGGTGGTCATGTGGAGTATGTAAAAGCTATACTGGTACGTGTGATGTTTTTGTTGCAGGGCTTTTGTTCTGGGAGTTGGCATGAGTAAACATTGTTTCATGGCTCAGCAGCTCTCCAGGTGTCATTTTCAACTGTTTATCCCATTGGATGGTGTTATTGTAGGATACAGCATTACCGTGATGGACTGGCAAAGGCAGACTGACAAGAGGAGAATGCTGGTTCAGTCAAGGATGAAGAGCAGGATTTGGAGTTTTGATCTCAGTGCAGATCATTTTAGTCAAACAGTTGCTACACTGCACTTGGTGTTGGGCCTCTGCTGGGGGAACTGATGGTCTCGCAGTCCCTGGTTGGCAACTGTCTGGAACATAAAGCCAGTATTAAACT